TTCTTCTTGTTTCAGTTTCAGTAATAATGGATAATATAGTGTTGATCTGATTCTTCTTACTTTCCCAAAAGAATGACAAATAATTAAAACCCGATGCATCTCGCTCTTTCCCCTACCTCTCCACTCATATTTCTAAGTTTCCTTTCTGGGTCTCCATCCTGCGCTCAGAATTATCTTTTCTTTTCCTCCTGAGTGAAACTATAAATTAAGGTGGAGGAGTGAAAAAGCAAGGAGGAGTTGAAATAGCTTCACATAAAAAGGTTGTTTGCCATGTTTAATCCCAAATCAGTTTACAATAGAAGCCTGTTTCTGAAAATACAACATACAATGAAGCAGATCATGAAATTTACTTCTCAGGTTCTTTTTCTTCAGAACAAATAACCTCAGTTCTATTATGTTTCCCAGCTCATCTTGCTTTATTACTTTAAAATTCTCATAATCATTCTTCAATTGTTTGGTGCAGAACTCTACACAGACAGTTGACACAAGAGCAAGTTTGTCTTGCGTAGAGCAAGGACACTGTTGGATTCCCCATATGAGACCTTCCTTCTGTCACACTTCTATAGAGTGGAAAATCACATTCAAATTTGTGACCCTTGGAACATCACTGATGTTATAGACAATCTGATACTAATCTGTTTCACTTTTCAAGAGGATGGCAAACACCCTTGGAATTATACAGTTGGAGCAGTTGCTAGCAGTGATCTCTGTCACTGTTATCGAGCAATGCTAGGAATCAGGCTTTGTGTTGGGTGCTTTCTGTATGCCAACTTGTTTAAGATTCAGAGTAAATCTTATGAGTTGGTGTTATTGTTCTCATTTTTGGGAGGAGAAATGGAATCTCTAAGACATAAATAGCAGAACTAAGGTTTCATTTCATATCTTAGTTATAACATTTTTAGTCTTTCCAATTCACTCCAGTAGGCACTTAAAAATGTGAAAGGAAAAAACAAATTCAGACACACCTGGTTGTTTCATTATAATAAAACTCTAGTATAATGTACAGAACCACCAACTACCATGAATACACAGTGTCACTAAAAATGTCCCCTTATCTTAGAGAAGTTGTCAGTTATCTAAAGAAAACTTGAGAGAATTGTCTTCTTACAGACAAATAAATCATTTCATATGAGACAGAACTCTATTGTTTCATTACTTATTTAAATGGAAAACATTTTCTTCCCAGTAGTTCAGAATACTTATTTCCATCTTTTGTTAACAGTCCTTGAGATCTGAAATCCCTAAAGATACAAACAGGAATGAATAAAGGCTGTGGGGGAAAACTATTTTATTTGTAGATGAGGCCTTAATGTTAATGAAAGCTTATGATAATCATCTCCAACTTTGTGGTTACCACCTATGTTTGGAATTCAATGGAAAATAGCTTTGTGTACCCCAGCATTTATAGCAGCATGATCAACAGTAGCCAAATTATGGGAAGAGCCCAAATGTCCATCAACTGATGAATGGATAAAAAGATGTGGTATTATTTGCTTCAACGTGGATGGAACTGGAGGGTATTATGCTGAGTGAAGTAAGTCAATTGGAGAAGGACAAACAGTGTATGTTCTCATTCATTTGGGGAATATAAATAATAGTGAAAGGGAATATAAGGGAAGGGAGAAGTAATGTGTGGGAAATAACAGAAAGGGAGACAGAACATAAAGACTCCTAACTCTGGGAAACAAACTAGGGGTGGTGGAAGGGGAGGAGGGCAGGGGGTGGGGGTGAATGGGTGATGGGCACTAAGGGGGACACTTGACGGGATGAGCACTGGGTGTTATTCTGTATGTTGGTAAATTGAACACCAATAAAAAATTAATTTATTTAAAAAAATTAAAAAAAATAAAATAAAATGATGTCAAACTAGAAAAAAAAAAGATGTGGTATTACTCAGCCCTCAAAAAGAATGAAATCTTGCCATTTGCAATGATGTGGATGGAGCTAATTATGCTAATTACGCTAAGAAAAATAAAAAAGAAAGACAAATACCATCTGATTTCACTCATATGTAGAATTTAAGAAGTCAAACATGAACATAGGGGAAGAGGGAAAAGAAAGAGACGGAAGCAAACCATAAGAGATTCTTAAGATATAAAGAAGAAAATGAGGGTTGATGGAGAGAGATGGGTGGGAGAATGGGCTAAATGGGAAATGGGGATTAAGGAGGGCACTTGTTGGGATGAGCCCTGGGTATTATATGTAAGTGATGAATCGCTAAATTCTATTCCTGAAAACAGTATTACATTGTTAACTACAATTAAATGTTAACTAACTAGAATTAAAATAAAAATTTGAAACAACAATAACAACAACAACAAAAAGAAAACAGCTTCAAAATCCAGGGCAAGGCTTCATATTTGGTAAAGAAATGAAGCAGGGGAACATCTTGTTTGCTTTCCTTCCATATCATATTTTGCCAAATCTTATTAATTTCCCCTGCATTAAGATATATATGCTACTGCTGTTGTTCTGAATTTCGTCCCTTTGTAATAGATGAAGGGTTTACTTCAAGATATAAGAAATTAATAAACTGCACTCTGGGGCTTTTTTCATAAAGATACAAAATTAAATGTCAGCTCTTTGGATAATGTAAGCTAAAGAATTAGTCATCTTGATGAAAGGTATTTTAGGATAATTTTCTCCTTTTGGATTGAGCTATTTAGCTAGTCCATGTTGATTAAATTATCTGAACAAATGGCAAACTATGTTTCACTTTGTCAGCAAAGGCACATCCCAATGATTGAAATCATCCATATGTTGTTATTTCTAAAACTGGAGAATTTTAGTCATCTACTAGGTAAGTCACCATCGATGAAAATTGTATGCCATCTATTAGCATCATGGTTCTCCACTTCATAGATGCTAACAGTATTTGAAATGTTTTAGATGATTAAGTATTTGAAATAAATGGCCTTTCATGCTGTGGGTCTTACTTCCCGTAGATATAAATTCTCTCCCCATACAACACTGTGGAAACACAGATTGACAGCTTGGTCTTGCTAAATGATTGACTGATTCACTTGATTCTCTAGTGACCAAGAGTTGGGAATTTTTAAATTTTGTTTTTTTCCTTCTCTGGAAAAAAAAAATCTGGCTTATTAAAATTTAAAACGTTTTATTTTTTACAGGTGCAAAAATGATTTTTAGTTCCCTACTTCTCAACCTGAGGAGAAAGTTCTGAAAATGTAGTAGAGATGGAATATATGGAAATTCCAAAGATCTATTTGGTTGTGGCAAATTACAGATCTTTTCTATTTTCTTTGTTTCTTCTGTTCAAACCAATAAGGCACATATAAAAATCTGGGGCCAGAGGCTGAAATTCTTCCCATCACCACTCTCTTTTGTCTTATCTTACCTCTTCATATGAGATTAAGTGATATTTCTGACTTCTGAAGACTTTGGAACCTGAATCTCTGCTTAAATTTACTTCTTAAATCTGATAAGAGTGAATCCATTTAGGTAAAGGAATAAAAGATTTAACTGTGAACTCTCATTACTACTATTCATATGTTTTACACAATAAAGTCATAGCATAACATTCCTTAATATCTTTTATGAATTTAAGAAGTCTTAGACTGTTCTAGTTATTTGATATAATGATTTGATACACTCACCTATTTTATCACTATAGACAGAATAGCAGTATTACCAGATAATCTTTTTTTTTTTAAGATTTTTATTTATTTATTCATGAGAGACACAGAAAGAGAGGCAGAGACTCAGGCAGAGGGAGAAGCAGGCTCCATGCAGGGAGCCCGACATGGGACTTGATCCTGGGTCTCCAGGATCCGCCCTAGGCTGAAGGCAGCACTAAATCGCTGAGCCACCAGGGCTGCCCACCAGACAATCTTATATCTATAACTTTGCACACAATTTCTTCTTGCCCATATCTATCTAAAACTAAACTTATAGGGGGATCCCTGGGTGGCGCAGCGGTTTGGTGCCTGCCTTTGGCCCAGGGCGCGATCCTGGAGACCCGGGATCGAATCCCACGTCAGGCTCCCAGTGCATGGAGCCTGCTTCTCCCTCTGCCTGTGTCTCTGCCTCTCTCTCTCTCTCCCTGTGTGACTATCATAAATAAATAAAAATTAAAAAAAAATACTAAGACCCTAAAAACATTTAAAAAAAATAAAACTACACTTATAAAATCAAGAGGACCAATTTTTTTTTCTTTTGTCAACATCAACTTCAGAGAAACCAATTATTTATTTATCAGATTTGGATGGTAGAATAAATAAGTAAAAAATATTGACTTTAAAAGTCTAATTCATATGCATACTTTTTTTCTGCTCTTTGTCATTTAGAATTGAAGCACTTGCATGTTTAATTATATATAAAGCCTATTGTAAGGTACCCGTTTAGAAAAAAATGAGACAGTAAAAAATGTCAGAGTATACATTCAAATCTTCTGTCCTCTGCAAATTTTCTTCCTTCCCTTATTTCTCATAATGTTTCTTAAAAGATTTGGAGAAATCATAATAGTAGCTATGGAGAGCCTACCTAATTGCTTCTTTTTCTTTCATGGTTCCTCCCTGTCCTTTGAGAATACAGGTTCTCTACTATGCACCAAGAATTGTTCTCTCTTCTGTGGGAGATGAGTGGGAGGTAAATGCACAAGCTGGTGCCCTCCTCTCCAGTTCCACAGAAGAGAGAATATGAGTGAGTACGTGGAAGTGCTCAGATGCCCACTAGACCCAGATACATCAAATGAACTTCCCAGGATTGTCTGTAGTTCACTTATCACTATTTTTCCTGTTCTACTTTACCAATCACTTTTGTGTTCTCCCACTAATCAAGTCTAAATAAAACTTAACATTAAAGATTACCTGACAGCATATGCCATTTATTTTTAATCTCTCTTTCTTTTCATTTCTACTTTCTAGAAAAAGCCATTCAAAAAACTCCTATGTAGGATTTTTCTTCCTATTTCATATATTCCTGCCACTACTTTATTCTAATATATTAGAGAATGACTATGTTTCTTTTTTTTTAATTACCTTGTCCAAAGTAAGCTCCTTTGTGCACAGTTTGAACACCTTGGTATCCCAAACTCCTACAGATGACCTGTCCACCTCGCAGTTCCCAGTGGTCATCACAAACTGTGCCCCACTGGCCATTGTGGAAAATCTCCACTCTGCCCTCATGAGGTGCTTTACCACCAACCAGTCGTACTGTCTTAAATGGAGCTGTAACAAAAACAAGCAGGAGTTAATTATATATAAATATTGTTTTATAATGCTTAAAAAATTACATTTTCCCGGGTAAATTCGACTATTGAAATAAATATTAAACTTTCTAGCACCACCTGTTGGTAAAGAGTTTAATTGCAAATATTGCATTAGTCAAAACTTGTTTCAACATTTATGATTATATATACAATTTATATAAATTACAGATATGAGGACACTTCAAGGTTGTGTTCAAAGACTTTGAAATTCAACAGCGCCAAGTTTGTTAATGTTCTGTAGACTTTTTGTAGTATTTCGAAAAATTTATAACAAATTGATTCGTTGTTTGCTTGCCACACTAACACACAAACTGGAATACATAATCCAGTGACTTTTTGATATAGGAGGTGAGTAGAAGATATAAGATTGTAAACACAAAAATAGATGACCAAACATCCTACCTTCTACCAAGAGAATCAAGATAACCATAATGACATATTTTTATATTATATTAATTATATTATTATATTTATTATATTATATTATATATTATTATATTATCTTGGATATTTTGAGAAATATAAATATTATATAACATTATTATATAATATTATTATATTATATTATTATATTATTTTGGATATTTTGAGAAATCACTAAAGCAATAAACTTTGTGAGGAAATATACCAAGTTTGTAATTACAAAAATATTTTTGTTCTTCAGTGTTTAATCAAATTGATATATATGATAAACTTTTATAAAATTTTAATCATGTGTAGGTTTAAATATGAAATGACTCCTATTTAAGTAATATACATTATGAGGTTGATGCAGAAAAATAAAAGTGTGTAATATTACAAAAACAAGTCACTTGGAGAATCAAAATTTCCTTGAAGAATGTATTATTCTAGTAAGTGTTTAAAAATAATTTTGCCGAAGAACAGAATGAAAGGCAGTGATAGAAAATATATATACAAGGGGAAGTGGAAGGGGAGGTGGGCAGGGGGATAGGATGACTGGGTGATGGGCACTGGGGGGAACTTGGGATGAGCACTGGGTGTTATACTATATGTTGACAAATCAAACTTCAATAAAAATATAGAAACAGGGATCCCTGGGTGGCGCAGTGGTTTAGCGCCTGCCTTTGGCCCAGGGCACGATCCTGAAGACTCGGGATCGAGTCCCACGTCGGGCTTCCAGTGCATGGAGCCTGCTTCTCCCTCTGCCTGTGTCTCTGCCTCTCTCTCTCTCTCTCTCTCTCTGTGTGTGACTATCATAAATAAATAAATAAATAAATAAATAAACAAATAAATAAATAAATGTAAAAAAAATATAAAAACAATAAAATAAATAAAAAAATTTAGCTAGTGCTAAATAAAAATAACAATATTCTCTAATAATCATAAAACTCAATGAAGAAGTGTAGTCCTATTTAAATATATCTTTTCAAATGTAAGTTTGAGAAACACTGTAGTATAAAAACGCAAGATGTAACTATCAACAAAAATACCCCTCTAATGTGAAAATGGAATAGTAGGAAATGGGTTTGTTCAGTAACATTTTTTTTTCTACTTGGAATAAATTTTGTTGAAACCATAATCTAGTAACAAGTAAAGAATATCAATCATTTCCTATGACAAAACTAACTGATTGAACCACTCAGGAACATAAAAAGCTAACATGTTAAAATGTGGTATTACAATTATTATTATTTCCTTGATTCTTCCAAAATAGAATTCAATCTTAAATACTGAGTTAATGTAATCATGCCCAAGTGCATAAGCCATTTCTCACTTAGTAAACATGAGTTTAAAACATTCTTAAAGTGTTTGTTATTACAGTATTCAAACTTTCAATTAACAAGTAAAATGCCCACATGACCCAATCATTCACTAAAATTGGCTAAGAAAATGGGAAGTTATAATCCAGGAGTGGATTGTTTGAATTTTAAAATATTAGAGTCATGTAGTATTAACTAGTGCCACCCACAAATGTTTGTTTTTACAGAAGTCAAATATACCCAAGCATAATATATTTATCATGACACTGTGACAAAGCATACACCATATTCAAACATTTGATTATGTTAAGCTTGATGGTCTTAACGCCCAAAGAAGCATATAAAAGTGTTCTCACTGCATATTCTTTAACTCTTACCCCTCCCAGAATGTCATTAAGAAGACTTGTGCCTCCTGGGGCAATAGTATCTCAAACTTTAGTATTTGTCTTATTCGGTTCAGGTTCTGTAACAAAATACCACAGACTGAGTGACTTAAACAGAAGACATTTATTTCTCACAGTTCTAGAGCCTAGAAGTCCAAGAGCAAGGTGGTGGCAGATTTGATTTTGTATTGTGGCCAGCTTCATGACTTGTAGACAGTGTTAACACATTTCTGGAGTAAGAGTGGGGAGCCATTTCCTTGTTGAAGATGAGTTTTGAGCAAAGACAATAAGTCTAGACCATAAATATTTTATTTTATTAAGATTTTATTTATTTATTCATGAGAGACCCACAGAGAGAGGCAGAGACATAGGCAGAGGGAGAAGCAGGCTCCCCATGGGGAGCCCGATGTGGAACTCAATCCCAGGACTGAGAATAACAACCTGAGCCAAAGGCAGATGCTCAACCACTGAGCCACCCAGGTACCCCCCATAAAAGATATTTTAATAATCTTGGTGTATTTATGCAATCTAATTATACTATGTGTTTAGATGTGTGTTCTTTTCTAGATCTGTGACTACAGAGTATAACTGAAACAAAAACCCAAGAATCAGATAATCTGGATTTTAGTTCTGCCTCTCACACTGTTTCTGTGACCTTAGTAAACCATGCAACCACTCTAAAACAAATTTTTCAACTGTTAAAAAGAGAAAATGATTATTTGCTGTAAGTTACATGTTCTTAGTTATTGCACAAAAATTTGTGCCAGGCATATTCCTGGGTTCCAGGAATTAGTTGAATAAAACATGTATCCTGCCTTTAGGATTTTGAGGTCATTATGAAAGTTAGTAGAAATAGCACATCCTTTATTATTTATTTATATTTATATTTATTTATTTATTTATTTATTTATTTATTTATAAAGTTTATTTATCTAAGTAATTTCTACAACCCAATATGGGACTCGAACTCACCACCCTGAGATCAAGAGCTCCATACTTTTCCAACCAAGCCAGCCAGGTACCCTGAAATAGTGCATTCTTTCAAATGGTGTACAAATACAAGTTTCTATTTTTACAAGTTTGAAACATTTTGAGGTTTACATTTTGCGATGAAAGCATTGGGAGGAATCTATTATCTGTGATATTAATTACCTAATTCATTAGAATTTTTTTTTGTTTTACTAATTCCCTCTTTGATGCTTATCCTTCTCAAAAAGGAGTTCTCAACCAATGAGAATAAGCTTCTGCAGATAGACAAAACCTACCCTATGATTTCAGATGTGAGTTTATATGACCTTTATTTCCAAATATGATTTTTTACTATTTTGAAGGGACCTTTCCAGACCCGGTCATGAGTAAACTATGGTCCATGGATCAATTATAGCATGCTGTTTTGTAAATAAAGTTTTATTGGAATGTAGCCATGCCCATTAGTTTACATATTGTCTAGGGTTCCTTCTAGGCTGCAACAGGAGAGGAGAATAGTTGTGACCGAGATCTTGCATCATGCAAACAGAAAATATCTACTATCTTGCCCTATGCAGAAAAGGCTGGGCAACACTTGGCACAGTTGAAAACACAATACATAGACTAGAATGATAACGGGTTTCAGTTGAGATACTCCAGCCAGGGATCCTGCGACAAATGTCAGGACTCATCTCTGCTTTCCTCTCCAGCCTGAGAACCACTCCATCCCTGCACTTCTTGCTCTCTTTCAGGTCTATAACTGCTCACATTTCCCAAATAGCCCTTGTTCTCCTGTATTTCTGGGGCTTTGATCCCTGTCTGGAATGCACCTTTAATCCCCTACACCTGCCCCACTCCTTCCAGTTTTCTACCTTGAATTAGGATAGGTTTCCCTCTTCAAACTTCCATAGCACTCCTAACCCCCAAAACACTGTACACTAGTTTGTTTTCTCCACAAAACTAAGATCCTTATAGTTAACATTTCAGCATCTGACAGAACACAGGTTTTTACTTAGGAGTCACTGGATGGAGAGTTATGGAATGAATGAATGAATGAATGAATGAATGTGAGCTCTTCCTAATACTTACACTGTATTGCCTGAGTGGATTAAGCTAGTAAATGCTTAAAATATTGAAGAGCAAGAGACACAGAATTCAGTATTTCACAAGTCTCTACAGGGAATACTGTTTCTATGTATAGAGGCAGTCAGGGAAATCATAACGGAAAGATTGGTTAAGCGGAGATAAACATGAATCCCATTACAGGGGAAAAAAAGAAAAAGAAAATGATGTGACTACCGTGAGCACCTCAAGGTGGGAGGGATGATCAGAAGCCTTATGCATTCTAAAATGATTTTGTAGGTTCAAAGGATGTGTTTCTTATTGGCAGACTAATGTTAAATATGATCTTGGGACTAAATGTCAATTCAATTTACGCTGAGAAATGTAATTGCCTCAAAAACTGAAATATTTGTATCTGCTTGACAAGGCCATTTTCTCCCTGTGGGCAATCTGCATAGGAAGTCAAATCACAATCAGTGAATTATTGGCTTAATTAATTTATTAATTTACAATGAGACACAGCAGTGAGATTTTGCCTCTGGGACTGGCCAACACTGTTTGGTTAACACATTTTTCCTTATGTATGTTAATATGTTCAGTCGGGTTAGGTGATTTGACATATCTCTGCTCTGATTCATTGTACTTTCACTTTCTACAAGCAATCTTAAGTGCCTTATTTCCCAGTTCTGAAGAGAAGAGTATAGTACTGATAATTCCTATGTATTTTGAAAAGTCTGTGTATAAAATAAAAATACATAAAATATTTATATTAATAGTGTGTTCATATTTCTATGACCATAAGAGACCAAGAGAAAAATATGTAATAG